TCTTAGGGGTGTTGTGAGGATAAATTAAGGAGAATGAGCTAAACCTGCGTTGAGGTTACCAGAGAAAAGCTGAGGAAGAAAGGTAATTGATGAATCCATGAAACCAAGTTTAGGAGAGTTATGGATATAGCATTTATCCCTAGTTGTCTTGCATTTCTCTCGTGCAAGGTTTTGATGGCTTTTGTAATCAAGCAAGGAGAAAATTATAGTAAGTTATCATTTCCCTATACTGTCAAATGAGCAAAACTGCTGAAAGAGAGAGAGAAAATGATAATTACTTACTTTTAAAATATGAGCTTTGGATTTCCCAAGTTATTGAGCTGTGTTTTGATGATACCCAAATTTAGTCAAGTGTGGTACGTTAGGGCTGAGGTTAGCGGATTTCATCCTCAATAACCTGTCTCAATAATGGAGTGTATTAATTGGAACAATAAAGATTGCCCATCAGAAGATGTTTTGTGTTTCTTTAATACAAACAGAATGCGGCTATATAATGATATTAATGTTAATAAAGTGATCAATTAAAAAAAGAAAATGAAATTGCTTGAAGGATGAGATCTGCTTAATTTACACACTCGAAAGAAAGCTGTTTTCTCCCCCACGTAATCTTGAAAAAGCGATTTCTCTCTCTCTGCCTCAAATACTGATAAATCCTGAGCTGAATAAATTAGAAGAAGCTTGTTTCATTTCTCCTCCCTGTCCACCTTTTCTTTAGAATCCATTTTTTTCAAAGATTAAATTAGGGACATATCAACCGTATTTTGCTTAAGCAGGGCAGCTTTGGGCTGGCCCAGCAATCTTCCATGTTTCTTTAATACAGAGTCCCCAGGACTGCAAGGAGAACAAACTTATCCGTTCTGAAAGAAATCAACCCTGAGTGCTCACTGGAAGGACAGATCCTGAAGCTGAGGCTGCAGTACTTTGGCCATCTCATGAGAAGAGAAGACTCCCTGAAAAAGACCCTGATGTTGGGAAAGTGTGAAGGCAAGATGAAAAGGAGACGACAGAGGACGAGATGGGTGGAGAGGGTCACCGTAGTGACCAACATGAATTTGACTCAACTCTGAGAGGCAGTGGAAGACAGGAGAGCCTGGCGTGCTCTGGTCCATGCAGTCACTAAGAGTCGAACACGACTAAACTACTAAACAACAACAGCAGTCATGTTCTCCATGCAAACATTCAAGAGAATGAGGTGATAGTGAATGCTGTTGCTTTTGAGGTTGGCATCCCCTCTGATGCTCCACTGATCACTGTGTCCTCATCAGAATGTTGACAAGGAATAGGGAAGAAGCTTGCAAGACAGGTTAAAACCATACCGTTCAAAGAGGCCTTTGGAAAGATCTTACCCTCGTAACAGCTTCGTGGCCCCTAAGTTGATCTTCATTTTGATTTGCTGTCCAGGTTTCCTTTTTAAAAAAGCATACTGTGGGTTTTTTAATGTTTTTTTTTGTTCTCTGTTTATGTTTTTATGGGTGGTATTGGGTTATGGTGTTTTAACTGTGGTTAGCCACTCAGAGTAGTGCCCCAGCACTAGATGGGTGGGATAGAAATGGGATGGATGGATGGATGGATGGATCGATGGATGGATCGATGGATGGATCGATGGATGGATCGATGGATGGATCGATGGATGGATCGATGGATGGATCGATGGATGGATCGATGGATGGATCGATGGATGGATCGATGGATGGATCGATGGATGGATCGATGGATGGATCGATGGATGGATCGATGGATGGATCGATGGATGGATCGATGGATGGATCGATGGATGGATCGATGGATTGATGGATCGATGGATCGATCATTCATACATACGGACGGACGGACGGACGGACCCTGGGGTACTGCAGTGGGAACCCCTGCTATCTTTTCTGACATTGGAAATAACATAGATTCCCTTGCTGGCTTTCCTGCTCCTTCATCCTCCTTGCACCTGATTGAGGGGGAGGGGGAGAAGGAAAGCTCAGCTTCCTATGTGGACGGGGCAGCCATGTGTGTGCTGAAGAGACCCTTTCCAGAGGATGATCCAGAGCCTTAAGAGCCAGATTGCCCAGAAGAGCAGACCGCCTCTGAAGACAGGGTAGGACCCTCTCCTTGTCAGTGGCATGGCACCCAGATTTAGATTCAGAAGATGAGACGGGGCCTCCTCCCAGCTGAAGAATGGAACATGGTGTGAAGGAGCAAGCATGGAGGCGAACCTGCAAGGAAGGACTCCTTAGGAGGAAGGCCGTGATGACTCCCATTTCAAAGGGACATATGAATCCACTTCAGGTTTTCACTTAAATTGTCTAGCAGCAATTTAAGTTGCCAGATCTCTTTTGAGCAAGCACTAGTTAAATAAATGCCACTGGTCTGCAATGATGGAAGGGTTTCTGTGGATGTACACTGACAGGGGAATACAATCTGGGCTCAGATAGAATAAATAAACATACTTGCCTTATCATATCTGGTCTCGACTGTGATGTTGACTACTGTACATGGGCAAAGCAACACAGTCTGTTGAGTGTCTCTGGGAATAAGATCACATTATGCTGGCAAACACGAGGTTCTCAAAAATGCAGGTGCTTTGGGGCTGACATGAAGGAATCAGGATGTTTCCTCTTGTGGCAACGCTTTCCTGTCCATGGTGCTGAATCTACCCTGGCCTACCTAAACTTGGCTGTTCTGAGTTTTTTTTTTCTCCCTCCCCCTCCTCCCATCCGTGTGTTTAAATCCGATGCAGGCAGGGTAGCCTTGACATCTGGCGTGCTCTGATCTGCTACGCACATTTGAATAGAGCACAAACACTCGAAGGGGGCCAGCCGTGTCAGAGCAGCAATTTCGACAAAGGGAATTATGTAGAAGGAGGTGCACAAAGGAGCAACTTCAAGGGCTGCTTGAAGCCTTGGAACCAGGTGTTTGGGGATTTGGCCATGGCAATGAGTTCACCCTTTGTTGGCAGGCTGAAGGCATGCCTTGGTTTGCTAAGCTTGCTCGACTTTATGTGTTCCTTCTCTTTCCTTTCCCATAAGCTTAGTCTGGTTAACACGGCCTTTGTGAGGTTCGCGGGGTAGAAAGGCCTAGGTTTCCAAGCCCGCGTTTGCTCAACAAAATAGGAGAAAGGGGCAATGCCAAGGCTGGCCTGTGGAGCACGATCTAAGGTGAGCCAGAAACTGGGAGGTGGTATCTGTGTGGGCAGAGGGTAGTTAGTCACGACCGAACACTGAGGGGTGGCATGTAGAACGCCTGAGGGGTGATAGCAGGTTGATACCACATTCCTTCCCATGGCTCCATCCTATGGAGTCCAGAGAGCCATAGTTTGGTGAGATAACTCTGTGTTGTCATTCTATAGAGGAGGAGCAGGATCTGTTCTCGAGCATCCCAGAGTGCAGGACACATAATAATCAACTCAAGCTGCAGGAAGCCAGATTCAGGCTGAATGTCAAGAAAAAATTCTTAACTGTTAGAACAGTACAACAATGAAACCCATGACTATGGGAGGTGGGGGGCGCTCTGGAGGCATTAAGAGAAAATTGGACACCCCTCTGTCAGATCTACTTTGGTTTGGATTCATGCCTGGAACATGGGGTTGGACTCAATGGCCTTAGAGGCCCCCTTCAACTCCATTATTCTATGATTCTAAGTCAGGGATGGCATGATTTACTTTCTAAGCAGATGAACCTGGATTGTATACTGAATTGAATTGAACTGAATTGAGTTTATTACAGTCTAAGCAGATGAACCTGGATTGTATACTGAAATGAACTGAATTGAGTTTATTACGGTTAAAGGCCAGCTCCAAGCAAACGATATAGTACAAAACAGAACATGTCATGTAAAGGTTAAGGTTAAGGTTCCCCTTGACATTTAGTCTAGTCGTGTCGGACTCTAGGACACGGTGCTCATCCCTGTCTCCAAGCTGTAGAGCCAGCGTTTATCGATAGGCAGTTTCCGTGGTCACGTGGCCAGCGCGACTAGACATGGAATGCCATCACCTTCCCACTGAGGTGGTACCTATTTATCTACTCGCATTTTTACATGCTTTCGAACTGCTAGGTTGGCAGGAGCTGGGACAAGCGACGGGAGCTCACTCTGTCATGTGGATTTGATATTACAACTCCTGGTCTTCTGATCTTGCAGCACAGAGGCTTCTGCGGTTTCACCCACAGCACCACCATGCCCCCTATTAACATGTCATGTACAGTACCTTGTGCCAAATACCATATCCACAATATGTAAATTAACCCGCAGCACCACCATGTCCCCTATTAACATGTCATGTACCTTGTGCCAAATACCATATCCACAGTATGTAAAGCTTAGGTCAGAAGTATCCAAAACTACGGCCGATGGGGGTGGACATTGTGTTATCAGAAAGCTGTAGCAAGCTATAGCAGCTGCACAAAATTTGGCCAGCCCCCCCCCCAAAAAAGATGAGGGTGAAACTGATGGATTTTCCATTCAGCCTCATGGATTGAGATACTTAATCCTTAAATCATTCAGCCCAGATTTAGACCAACTGAATTAAAGTTGCTGACTCTTTTTCCAGAGGGACCTCCTGTCTTTAACCAGTTTGATGCAGACATATGGGACACTATTCTCTCTATGATGGACTGACTGCAGCGTTTGAGTTGGTCTGGTGCAAATGAAGGCAAATATTATTTCAATTTGTTTCTTGAAGAACAGGTCAGAATTTGCAAATTCGTTCACAGCGGGAACACCCTTGCACTCCCCTTAAAAATGATCAGCGGGAGAGATCCTGAAACTTCACACATTTCCCCACTGATAGCACTTAGGCTTTTTGTTTTAAACGACTGTGAAATGGGAGCACATTTTCATGAGCATGGCCGCCCTGCAACCTGACCCTGAGGCAGTGGACAAGATATTTCACGGAGCGCCTTTGGTTCTGTTTTGCTCTGTGGATGTGGAAAACTCTGCAAAATGAGACACGTCTTTCTGAAGCTTTTTTTCAAAGGCTCAGCAGAACATTTCTGACAATTTCTGCTTCTTTGCAGACTTCCTGCGACAAGGACGTCATTCTGAATATCCTCAGTGTTCTCACGGACCTCCTTTCTGTTGGTAAGCGCAAAACGAAGCCTTGCTTGTATGGGGTGAAGACCGCAAAATCTACAGCTAGAGAGGAATCCCAAGTGACCTGTTTTCAGTGGTGAACTCTAGACTTAATGATCATAGAACTCTTCCCATCCTCAGAGACCATAGTCTCTTTATAATAATTGTGTGCTGTCAAGTCAATTCTGACTGATTGGAGACCTTTCATAGGGTTTTTCAGGTGTTGAGTACAGTGGTGCCTCGCTAGACAGTTACCCCGCATGACAGTTTTTTTTTGCTAGACATTGACTTTTTGTGATCGCTATAGCGATTCGCAAAACAGTGATTCCTATGGGGGAATTTCTCTGGACAATGTTTGGTCCCTGCTTCGCAAACCGATTTTCGCTAGACGACGATTTTGACAGCTCCCTCCGCGCTCGCAAAACAGGTGTTTTTGGGACCTAAGCTTCACAAGACAGTGATTTAAACAGTTGATAGACGGTTCGCAAAGTGGCTTTCCTATGGCCAATCTTCACTAGACAACGACAATTCTTCCTCATTGGAACGCATTGAACAGGTTTCAATGTATTCCAATGAGGAAATGCTTTTCGCTAGACAATGATTTTGCTAGACAATGATTTCGCTAAACAGCGATTTCAGTGGAGGAGATTATCATCATCTAGCGAGGCACCACTGTACTCAAAAGTGGTTTCCCATTCCCTTCTTCTGGGGTGCATCCTGGGACTGTGTAGCTTGCCCAAGGCTGCATAGGCTGGCTCTACTCACAGGAGGCACAGCGAGGAACTGAACTCTCTCCCTCTGGCTCTGCAACCAGATGCCTAAACCACTGAGCTATCCATCCAACTCTAATCATGTGCCATCAAGTCAATTCTGACTTTTGGCAACCCTTTTCACAGTTTTCCAGGTAGAGTACTCAGAGGTGTAATACCATTTCCTTCCTCTAGGGGCACCCTGAGACTGTGCAACTTGCCCAAGGCCCCCCAGGCTGGCTTTTCCGGTCTATTATTTCACTTCAAATTGTAGTAAACTAATCTTGATGGGTGTGAGAACTTTCCTACTCATTCTATCCTTGGAAAATGAAAGGGTGAGAGTCTTTCAGCCTGGCTGGGAAATCGGTCGCCAGCCAGATGTTTCTGAGTTCCAATTCCCATCTGCCCCCAACTAGTTAGAAGTCTCCCCGTGGCCCGTCAGGATCCAGAAAGATGCCTTCTTTAATGGACCTTTCCCTTGCTTTCCCTTAGGGACTAACAGGAGGGTGCATTACATGATCAGCAAAGGAGGCAGCGAAGCTCTTCTACAGACCACGCTAAACGCAGCGCAAGCCCCTCTGCCTGACTATGATGTCCTCTTACCTCTGTTCCGCCTGATGGCCAAGGTTGGCCAGAAAGGTACAGCTGTTCAACCATGCATGTATGTAGGCCAGTATGTCTGTCTTTGCTAGCCATTAATTTGTTCTTTGGGTTCATGTGTAGGCTGCCTTTCTCCTGCTTAGGACACTCAAGGGGGGGGGGTTGCACTGTTGAAACAACTCACACTAAAACCACAGTAAATTATAAGTCTAGATTAAAGGTTCCCCCTTGATATTTAGTCCAGTCGTGTCCAACTCTTGGGGACAGTGCTCATCCCCGTCTCCAAGCCGTAGAGCCAGCATTTCTCTGAAGACAGTTTCCATGGTCACATGGCCAGTGCGACTAGACACAGAACGCCATTACCTTCCCACCGAGGTGGTACCTATTTATCTACTCAAGTGCGCATGCTTTGCAGGAGCTTTGACAAGCGATGGGAGCTCACTCCATTGTGTGGATTCAATCTTATGATGGCTGGTCTTCTGACCTTGCAGCACAGAGGCTTCTGCGGTTTAACCCGCAGTGCCACCATGTCCCTTTTTACAAGTCTAAAGAACAATTAAACATACGGTAGCAATGGGAAGGCCATGAATTAAGTATAGAATAATAATTTTTAAAACTTATCAAAACTTTCAAAGCAGACCCAGAAGAACAAAAAACAATAACAGCCCATCACCCAGTTAATTATTAAAAGCCTGCCTGAAGAGGTAGATCTTTAACTGGTGGCAGAAGGAGAATAGGGAGATGGTTCCACAATCTGGAAACAGACACAGAGAAGGCCCTCTCTCATGTCCCTCTCAAACGTGCTTCTGATGGACCAAGACAAGGGCCTCCTCTGAAGGTCTTAGGGGGCCAGGAAGGATTGTATGGGGAGATTTGGTCCTTCAGATAGCCTGGACCCAAACTGTATAGGGCTTTGTAAGTCATAACCCCACTCTGAATTGCATCCGGAACCCATTGGTCTATATTTTGAAGTGTGAGTGCACATTATAACTTTCCCCCATAGCTGTGTCTCTTCAGAAGTAGCTGGATGAGGCACACCTACAACTGAGTTCTAACAGCTGTGGTTTCCCTCAGAAGCAGGTCTTTTGCAAAGCCAATGACTCCTAATTGCCCATTCAAGGCCAAACCATCCTCCAACACACTGCACTAAAACAAGGATACATTGCAACCATATTCTGTCTTTAGGAAATTTCAGTTTCTTCCTGGGGTATTGCGATGGTTGTGCGAAACTGAAGTGAACTGAGTTATGGCGGCATCCAGCTGTTGCCCTTGAGCATGGCCAGCCGGAAATGCTAGGCATGTCCAGCTGACATGGAAAAAGATCTCAGGGAAACTAGAGCCCACAAAAGCTCTGCACGAGGGAACAGCTACCTGCACGGATATTTGAGAGATGGTTGAGATGCTTGGACTAAAGTGGAAACTATGGGGTATTTTTAGAACTGAGAGTGCTCTTCGCTCGGCTGATAAATCAAAAAGGTAGCTTAATTGTGATTTTGTCCCTTCACCTTTTGCTGTCTCAGATAAGAAGTTTGGGCTGAAAGCTCAACGACTGGGCGTACTTGATCTCACCCTTTCCTTGGCAAGGAAGAACGTAAATCATCACCAGAATTTCACCTACTGTCTTTGGGCACTACAGGCTTATGCGTCTAGTGGTGAGTATCTTTCCATTCTTCCCCTGTTTGGGACGATTCATCATCTTTGCACAAATGCCTAGGTGTGCACATCCAGAAACATAACATTGGGGTCCAGAAATTAATCCAGGATGGGTAAGGAGAGAAATAGGGATGTAATGGCGCTGTGTTTTGGCAGCACACTTTGTGGTGGTGCTGGGTGTGTGAGCCGAGGTTGACCGTTCCCTTCTTTTGGGGGCACCCGGGGACTCTGCCCAAGGCCACCCAGGCTGGCTCTTGTCCTGGGAGGCTCAGTGTGTGTGTGGGGGAAAATCAAACTCCCAACCTCTGGCTCCGCAGCCAGAGACCGAAACCCCACTGAGCTATCCAGCCCAGCCACGAGAGACTTCGGCAAAGTTTTCACAGAAAATGTGACAACAGTCCTGATCAACTCAGCTGAAGATGTTTTGCAATGTGAAGCAGAGGTTCAGCGATACTCTTCCCAAGCTAATACTTTCCAGAGATGTCCTGCCATGACGTGGCCCTTGTTCCTGCCTACCTCCACCACCCCATGCCCCAAATCATACTACCTGAAGCCATGTTGCTCACCTTCCTGTGAACCAGGGACTCCTTCCATCCACCACATGTCTCCAAGGGGTTCTTTGCATTAGCCGGTTGTCTTGAAACCAGCCAAGAGCCTGTGTGGCATCTTAAAGATGATTTCAGATTTATGAACCTATACATGATCCTTTTCTCATCAGCACATTCCTGGTGAGACCAGTCTTCCCTAGCTGCCCTCACGTTCCTCTTGACCTCTTCTGGCCCCGTCGCTGCTTCCCCCCTGGGAGAACTCTAACCGGGCCAACCTCAGCCTTTGGCCCGGTGTCGCATGCTCAGCATTTCCAATCTCCCCTCTGAAGATTTAAGGCTATTGGCTTCTGGCCCTGTAGGTTTCCTATGTGTGTGCTCAGGAGCCCAGCGTCGTGCTACGGACCTTTCTGGGCAGGCAGCCAGCTCCGTGGGTCTTGAGCCCTGCTCCTTGAGATAAGCAATATTTGAAAGGGTGAATGTAACAGAGAGGGCTGTTGAAATGTATCTTGATTTAGGTTACCGGGGGCCACTTTTATGCCCCCGCTGCTTTTCACGTGGAGGGGGAGAGCCTTGTTTCAGGTCTTGTGCCCTGTCTCAGCTAGTTCTCCCCACGCAGTGGAATGAGGTGCTAGAATCCTCAGTCACAGAGCGAGATTTAGGAGCTGATGAAGCAGCCTGGGTCGTTTGGTGCATGAAGACATTTGGGTGCCTGAAGCAGAGAACAAGAGGCTGCCCCCCTCCTCTTTGCGTACAAAACCAGAGTGGATTGGCACCTGGACCTTATTCCAACATGGGCAAACTTCCTTCACGTCCCTTTAATACAGGGGGCTGGACAGTGTGTGGCTCTTCTGACTTAGGATGTGGCAGTTCTAAACCATGGTTTGAAGTAGCTTCCAAACCAGCATCTAATTTTTTTTTCAGATGAGTTCTGTCTGGTCCTGCATTTCTTTTCCATGGTGCATGTATGATCAGCTGTAGCCGTCTCCATGTCCTTGTACCCAAATGCAGCAGGATCTTTTATGGAACATAAGAGAAGTGCAATGGCTCTTCAACAGACAGGGACAGCTGAGGAGCATGGAAGAATAATGAAGGGGAAGGTCGGCCCCTTTGGGCCATGTTGTACTAAGTGCATATTTACTAAGAACGCAGCCATCCAATGGACAGTCGGGTGTTGTTTCGCCCTGACCAAGTTGCTCCCCACCTTTTGTGGCGGGAATCAGGTTGGACCTTCAGGTGATCTCCAGGCCTCCGGAAGGTGCGATTAGTGAAAGCTGTGCTGCTTCTTGAAGACATGGATTGAAAACCCATGGCCTTAGAATCAATCTATGCATCACAACAACATGTCATTAAGAAGCGCCTTGGTGTTCCAGAGATGGGATGCCTGCAGAAGATCATGCTGGAGCAAACAGACTTGCAAATGAAGCTTATATTTACCTCCCCTTGACCAATCGCAAAAGAGATCAGACTAACTGGGAGGTATGAAAAAAGTTGACATAGTGACAGTCTTTAAACGGCTAGGAATTTCTCCACCTGGTATGCTACCTGTATCACAGAATTTGGTCCTGAAGCACAGGATGGTGGACCAAATAGATATGTACTTTCACTTGGGAGGTTTATTTGATCCTTGCACAGACTTCCTTTGCCCTCTGAGTGTCAAAAAAGTTTGCTAACAACCCCTGAAACTGACTTCTGTTGTAATTCCAAAAATATATACTCACCCTTTCCATTCTAAGCCTAATTGCCTCTTTTTTTTCATTTTCTTAACCAGTTACAGTGGGAACCATACTGGGTATGAATGGAGCTATGGAGCTGGTTTTCAACGCAATCACGCCGTACACCAAAAAGCACACCAGAATGACAAGGTAGGCTGATATTTTTATTTGGTTAATGGGGGTGACACAAGTAAAGCTAAATAGCAATGAGGCTGTAGAATCATTTAATCATAGACTATTGGAGTTGGAAGGGGCTAGTAAGGCCATGAAGTCCAGCCCCTTCAATACAGGAATCCAAGCAGATCAGACAGAGATTGTCCAGTTTTATCTTGAATGCCTCCGGCGCTGGGATGTTCATCATCTCCTGAGGTCATGGGTTCCATTGTCGTACTGCTCTAACAGTTAAGATGTTTTTTCCTGATTCAGCCTAAATCTGGCTTCCTATAGCTTGAGCCCATTATTATGTGTCCTGCACTCTGGGATGATCGAGAGCAGATCCTGCCCTTCCTCTGAATGACAGCCTTTTAAGTCTTTGAAAAGTGCTATCCTATTTCCCTTCAATCTTCTTTTCACTAACGTACCAATCATGTCTTACAAATGTTCTTGATTCAGAGGAGAAACATCAATGTATAGTAAAGGGTCTATCCAAGGTGAGCATCAGTGTTATCCCAATTTGGTCTTCGGGTCTCATCATCAGCTGGAGGGTGCTGGATACTATAGTTACTATGGGGTATATAAAATTACCTGCATGAGAGTTTGCTTATCAGTGCTCAGGCCATTTCTTAGACACTCATTAGTTGGGATAAAGCTCCCTTTCCCAGTTAATAGGTATGTGTGTTCTGTGCCCATCAAGTTTTGTTCCTGTCTTATAGCAGCCCTAAAAGGGTTTTCAAAGTAAGTGAGATATTTACGGAGTGGTTTTCCCAGTGTTGCTCCTTTCCCTGGTGAGTTTCCATGGCTGAGTGAGGATTTGAACCCAGGTCTCCCACTACATCACTCCGAGGTAATATATCCAAAACAGATCATGTGAGAACTTTCCTTGCATATCTATCTTCTGATGAAGTCTCCCAGGTCAAACAGACCCTGTATTTATTTTTAAGTTCACTCTGCATCTCCCTTCTCCACCAAGTCCAAAAAGCTGTTCAGGGGTCTCGGGAGTGAAGCTAAAATTAGTTATGCAGCTGTCTATTCCAGTCCTGTCCCCAGTCAGTTCTCGGAGCAAGATTTACAACGGGCGCGAGCCTTATAAATGAGAAAGCACACACTTGCTTGCTCTGATAGCTGAGCTGACCCCGCTTCTGCTCCTACTGTGCTGAAGAGAGCCAGGGAACAAGAGAAGAGAGGCAAATCTTAAGACCTGGAATGCAAGGGTGAACTTAAGGTGAAAAGATCTGGGCAAGAAGATAAGGCTGCCTAGGAGCAATGATATAACAAATTTGTCTCAACTCTGGAAAATAGGGCTTTGTCCTAGGAAAGGCTCACTATGACCCTACCATGTGTTCTGTCCCTTTGCTATAAATGTCATCCAAGGCAGATAATCAGTGATGAATAAAAACGAGCTTGGGGTTGCTAACCACCTACCGTAAAGGTAGCTTTCCTCTGGAGAGATTTCCAAGCTCTAAAAGAAATAGAAGGGACAAACTCTATTATTGCTGCATGGGAGTGCAGCAATAGCTATGATGCACCAAAGCAAATCAGCATTCCATAAAGCAAATTAAAAAAATGGGGGGGCACCACAAACAATGTGGACAACACCAATGGCAGCAGTCAAGATGGTGTACAGCAGCCATTCTCAAGCCCCCCCCCCCCAATATGGCCCTGTTGAAGGGTACCACAGACTGAAACCAGTTTGTTTGATAAAGAAATGGCAGCAGTCAAGATGGTCTACAGCTGCCATTCTCAAGGTGCCCCCCTATACGGCCCTGTTGAAGGGGACCACAGGCTGAAACCAGTTTGTTTGATAGAGGACCTGGAGTCTGAGAAAATCTAAAAGGGCCATAGCTAAAAAAAGATTGAGAATCGGTGGACTGCACAATATCATCATATTACCATTCGCCCTTGTTGATAAACAGCCATGACAATTGCTTTGTGTTTGGGTGAGAAGATGATTACACTGATTTAAAAAAGGAGTCAGTTTTGGTGATTTTCCCCTGCGTGGTGTCACTTTATGAATGGTGGTGAGCACAAGAGGGTATCCTGTAGACCATCTAGATTGCTGCTATCAGTGTTGTCAATATTCAGGCTGCCTTTTGCTATGGAAAGGTTGGCATCCTTTTTTTTTCTTGCTGATATTGTGCAGCAACGTCGGCATATTTCCTGGATTTTTAAAATCATGAGTATAGAAGCACAATGACCCACATTCATAGATCAGAGCTTTTTATTTTGAAAAAATGGAATTAATGTTGTAATTCCGACTTCACAGATACATAATAAAATGCACGAAAACTGTCAGCAAAGATGCAGCAGTTCAAGCAATTTTGCCACCTTAGGCAGAGCATCACAGAGTGTCCCGTGCTGACTCGAGACATGATATGTTGTATCCCAAAACTGTCCAAAATATTTTGGCAGGTGGGATAGAAAACAGAGTGAATATTTGGGTCTTGAACAAGGACCACCTACTTTCATATATAAAAAAGAGGAGAAATCTTGCTACTGGTGCCAGGTCCAGCTGGCAAGGGAAGAAGTGCGAGAACTGAGTGCAGAAACAGCACAAAGCAACTGGTTCCTCACGGTCTTGTTTACGTTTCTTCGTAAGTTCTCCATCACTTCTTGGTAGCCATCTGCTAATGTGACAAGCAAACAGTTCGTTTGCTAAAAATGCAAAAACAGCCCCATCAGAGGCACAGCTACCTGCAGCTGTCTCTTTAGCAGGACTCTGTTGGTTCTTAGGGAGGGGGGCGGACGGCATCCTTCTTGTTTCTTACAAATTGCTTTCTCTCTCAGTTTGACTTACCTTACAGGAAGGATGAGCAACCTGCCCGTGGCCCTACCCATTAGGTTCACTTAAGGGTGACTTAAGGGCACTGGAGGGTTGGCAAATGTTACACCCTCTCTCCTGCTGCTTGGACCCACATGGCCTGCGCTTCTCTGGAGAGCTGCTCTACGGGCAGGTGATTTTAAAGAAGTTGAAAGTTCCTCATTTAGACGTTGCAAGAGCCTTGAGCTATGGAAATGACATTGAGATGGGCACGGACTATCCGTTCTGTGGTTCGTGCCAGTTCGTTTAGCGGCCACTCAGGAGGTTGGCACTTCAATGCCCCACCTCCTCCAGCAGGTGCCAACTTGGAGGCAGTAAACAGAGGCAGTGGGGCAGAGAAGCTGGCACACTCACTCCAAGTGGATGCCCACTGGAGGAGGTAAGCCACTGAAGTACCAAACGCTTGTTTGGCCCCTACACAGTTCGTGTCCATCTTTACATTCAACAACCATCCTTTGTATCACTAGACTGGTGGAAGAGATTGGGATAATCTTTGATGGATCAAATCCTAGCAGGTCCCTTAATATCCTGGATATATCAGGCCTGTTTTCCCACACTAAACACACGGGTCTGGGTTGCAACATGTCCTTCGTGATGCTGATTCTGTGTTTGGTTATCTCCGCTGGATCTGGAGGTTTAGTGATAGTGTCGGGGGATTTAACTCCCATTGCATCTCTCTGCAGCTCTTCTTTTGAGAGCTTCCCAGTTGTCCAGCACATGTTTCCAAGGCGCATGAGTGCTAGGGTGAGGTGTGGGTTGCAGAAGCTTCTGGGTGCATTGGCAAATACACATGCCCGTGGAAATCTTTCTGCTGAAGTTGTGTGCCTCTGTGCTGATTTGTGTTTTAATTATTTCCCCCTTTAAAGGTGGCTTTTAAAGAAAGACTTATAAATATTTTAATAACAAACAGTTCAATAAACAATAATGCTCATTAGGGTGAATTGAAATCTGTAAGAACCAAATAAAGGAAAGTCCAGTGTACTCCTAATTAATAAAAGCATAGAAGGTCCATATAGCCAACCGTATGGGAAAAATAACCTCAGATACAAGGTTTAAAAAGAAAAAGAAAAAAAAATAAGGAAGAAGAGTCTTAAGAAGGGACTACATAAAACTTCCACATAAAATAAAACTTTGTTTTTAACCTTTGGTTTTCAAAGTTTTGTCTCAAAGACAGCATTCACCATTGTGAAGGAATTTAATACCCCACACTCATGTAATCGTTTCTGCTTTCAACTCATGTATAACCTTTCTTAGAATTCAAGATATTCTCATTAGTTATCTCCGGTCATAAGACTATTTTTCACGTTATAACTTCCCTTAATGAAGACATCATTTCCACATCCATCTTCTTCTTCCCTCCATTCCTCCAGACGTCTGGAAAAGGCTTGCCGGGGTTTTATAAATTTGCCTCCTTCCGGTGTTAATAATTCAGTGGCTTCAAATGAATAGCCTTTTTCCCAAACTGTGGGATTCCAGGCTGTCTTCTGGAAGAGTTTTTGTACAAGCTTCCTGATGCTCAGACAACATACACTGGGGTCACCAGGGTCAACATATTTAATCACATATATTTGCTCACTCATAAGAAGTCAATAAAAAGGCTGACAACATAAAAGAGATTATGACAGTCTTCTTCTCCAACACTTATTCTTTCTGTTTTGTAATTTTCCTGTACAAATGGTTAATAATCAACTATCGTTATTACAATAGCCCGCTTCAATGAAACACAATGAACAGCCTGTTTTTCTTCTTCTTCCAAAAGAACAAAGAACTGAAAAGAGCAATTGCAAAGTAAATTAATTAGGGACTGAGTTGAAACAACTTCTTCCCTTCATCTTAATGGATGTTTTCCAAGCCATGCAGCAGGAAAATATACATCAGGGATGTGTAAATAAAGATGTGGACAATGGAAGAGGCTTTTTTAATGGGATATTCCCATGGGAGGGGGGGAGAACAGAATTTCACAACCAGCTACAAGCAGCAGGTGGCATAGGATATTTTTTCCCACATCTCTAATTAGAGAGGACAGTCCTTCATTGTAAAGGTTGCTGGATGACAATTGGAAAGGGTCTTCCATTTAGAAATCCATCCAATCGCAAGACCACTTTAGCAAGATAGGACCTTAGGGAGCTTTAAGATCATGAGCTTTGGAGTTACTCATCCACAGGTGTGCATC